ATGCGCAGGCGGATACTCTTACGCATCTAGGGGAATCAAAACGTATAATTTGTCCCTTGCATGTATCACTACGCCTGTGGGTGGGAGTTGGGTTAGGGGAAATGGCTGCTACGCCTCTGGGTAGTGTAGCTTCGTGAGATAACCTAAGGCCATCCAGGTATTAAGTGTCACGGCTTTAGCATGAGACTTACGTCATGTAACTGAATCTGGGAAGAAAAGTAAAAATTTCCTGAAATCGTATCGGTTCTCGTTATGCTAAAAAATAATCTTTAACGAGATGACGTATTTTTATTTTACTAGCCCTGAGGCCCGGATATCCATTTAAAAACAACGGGACATGTAAAAGCTGGTCTTTATATTTTTGTTGAGCTGAAATGTAGTTTTAAAAAAGCTAATATAAAATTACGTCTAGCAGTTATGTAGCTGTGTACAGCTTCAATCAATAAACCACGCAGCTTAGGACTCAAAGGTCGACTAAGTTTTTCTTTGAATAGTTTTATGTTGTTGTTTTAAATAGCTGGACTGGTCGTAAGGGGACCATGGAGACAAGTCACGTGATCTAGCTTGTGAGTTTAACTAGCGGGGTTGGACTCAATGTATCGTCAACGCCGCTGTCAGCTCGGTGTCTTTAGACAACTAAATACCGGAAATAAGCGCAACAAAAAATTGCGCAACGAAAAATTGCGCACAAAAATAGAAGAGTTATTTCCGCTATAGTAAAATTTAAACGCGTAATCGTTGATAATGATATAATATACTACAAAATGTAGGCTAGCTGCAAGAAAAATATAGCCCACGTTCAATTGTTTTTGTTTTTTTTTACAAGAAGCGTACAGTTTATTACTTTTTATTCGAATCCGCAACAAGGTGTCTTAAACGCAGTTACAATAGTAAGACCCTTAGCCTAACGGTACTTAATTTGATTCAGTTATTAGTAAAAAAATTATAATTGTTGTATATTGAGAACTACTGGTATATTAAAATCTTGAAGCGAAGCGTAGAAACAAATAGCCGCCATGTTTTTTTTTATTATCAATGGGAATCATGTTAAAAAATAATTAATTTGGCTAAAAAACTTATATCTCTCTCTGGCTAACGAGATTTAAAATTTTAAGCGATAGAGAAAGAGACCTACAAGCCCTATTACAAACATAGTCTTGTACTAGACGTATCAGAACCCCGAACGGACAAAATTTATTTCGCACACAAGATTTTGTTCGTCAGAGAGTATAATATTTGCTACCAGTCGGTTTAGTCTACCAATGAGATGCATCAAGGGGAGGCAAGCATAGGAGCCTAGGTTTTTAAAAACACCGTTAGTTGTCTGTTCTTGAGTTGTACAAAACCCAATAGTTTCGTTAGACAAGAGGAAGGTTCAGATCTGTTAATGTTATAGAATTTTCATAGCCTTTAAATACCGCTATTGCTGGATTAGTGTTAGGATCAGGGTTAGTATCATTTAATTTATTGTAACAATACAAACCTCCCTTGTCGTAGTATGCAGAAAAAACCCATCCTCTACACCCCAAAAAAAACAACAAAAAAAAAACAACACACAAATTAATTTTAACGAGCCGACCCGCAGCGTATCATACGCTGCTATTTAGTTGTTTTATTTTCTACTTTTCAGTAATTCATAATTTGTGAATTCGACAGTACCAATGCTGCCACTGAAAATATTTGCTTTAAAACACTAACCCCCCCCCCCTTTCCCCTAACCCCGACCCAACACACACAACCCCCCCCCCCCCACCCTTGAAAGCAGCCTCCTCTTAGTTATTTCTTAGTTACCTCCTGTAAGTTTAATATTGAACTAAATTATCTGCCCCTAATAGAAACCTAAGACTCTACGATTTGTAAACATTTAGCTTTGTAAACATTTAGTGTGACCACAACTCACCAGACAATGTGGGGGTGGGGGTGGTAGTGATAGTGATAGTGATAGAGAGAAAGAGAGGGGACTGCAAGGAGGCGCTTGCAGCTTGTTTTCTAACTGCTCCCAGAAGAGAATTATATATATAGATTGCTAAGAGGAAAACAAAACAGTCTGATAAAACATCGAATCTAAAAGAAAACAACCGAATCGGTACTGTGTCTTTAGTTTTCATCTGATTCAACCTGGCTAATTCGAACGCGCAGTTGTCTTGAATAATTTGATCGAGAGCAAAAAGACCTGGCTTCATTAGGAGATAAAACAGCTCGAGTTTGTGCTAAATTATCTCCCATTTAATCTTTGGGCAGTGTTGTCTTCCATCTCAATTCTTGATTTACTGCAATGGTTTTAAAAGAAAAAATTGAAAAAGAAAAACTGTATAAATGTGCGTGTTTTATTTTGAAACATAAATATAATTAATAAATTAACTCCTCATTTAAGTTTTTGTTTCAAGTTTTGTGTAGTGAATTAGCATTTAGGTGTTAATTAATGTTTGTTAAATGTCAAAGAATGTCAAAGAGCTAGTTTCTCCAGCCGTCCCCTGTGGTTAACCATTATGACCTAGTTTCTCCAACTAACCCCGTAGGTCAGGGGTCGGCAACCTGCGGCTCGCGAGCCGCATGCGGCTCTTTTGGTGTCACGATGCGGCTCTCTAGCTCCCTGCACAAATATTAATAGTTATATTATTTCATTTTCAAAACTCATAACAAAAATTATACTGTAAAGATACACAAGTTAATGGGGACTGTTAATTTAGAATGCATTTCCCTATCCACCAGTAAGCATTAATTTGACGTGAGTGACGTAGTTATTATTCGCTTCCTACTGTTGAGCCGGGTACAGGACTGCGGGGTACGAGTTTACCCTGCGTTCAGTGGGGTGGAAGATAAGCCCCGTGAGAACCAAAGGACAGAAGCGAATGATGCAAATTATTCAAACCGATATCCAAGCGAGTTAGTCGGAGTTTGCCGTGTTGAAGCCTGCCTGGCTAATGGGAGACACCTCCTGAGCCGGTGTTATCCGTAAAAATAATAAAAAATTAACAGCTTCTAAAGTGGATTTGGATAGTCCTATATTTTTTATTATTTGATTACTAATTTCATTATTCTGGCGAAACAAGTGTGTTTTTATATGAATAAATATTATTTCATATTTAAAGCTATTTAGTTTAAATAACGGGTCGGCTTGGTCAAGTCGGTAAAGCTCATGGTTACTAAACCGAAAAGTCTCGAGTTCGAACCCTCTGGCAGATAAGGCTCGAACACTAAAAATTAAGAACGAAGAAGAAGATTTTATATAACAAATCAAATTTATTTATCTAATCCAAATCAAATAATAAAATATTGAAATAAAAATGTCAGTGGCTCTTTTAAAATTGGGAAATTGTCAAAATTTTTAACTTTTAGCTCTTCCGTTTCCAAAGGTTACCGACCCCTGAACTAGAGAACAATTTTTTAAGTTGTTTCCCATTTTAACATTCATAGTAAACAAGGGAAGCAACGAATTTTCTGAATTTTCGCATGATAACAAACGTAATAATACAATATAAATTGAAATGATTGTTTTATTTATTATATTTTACACAGCTATTAACACGTTCTTAACTAATATTCTGTCCATTTGTGGTAATTATTGGATTTCTGAATAATTAATGTGCTCTAAAATATGTATAAAAGCATTAGATTAATGACCGGCTGCATTTTTGAAGACGGGAAACTACCGCTTTATTTACGCTCACTAGACTAAATTAATCTATTTTAAAAAATTGTTTCCCTTGAAATCAAGGGACAAGATAAAATCGCCTGAGTATTTGTCGGAAACCTGCATCTTGGGGCTCTCCTGATGTCAAAATGCGGCTCCTCAGTTCCATGCATAAATTATGATAATTATTAGATCTATATATCATTTTATAAACTCATAACAAATGTTATACTGTAAAAAAAAACACACCTTTGAACTAGGTAAAAACACTAAAACAACTTTAAACAAAATACAAAAAACAATGAGAAAAGGTGGAGTAGAGTGAATACGGACAGCTGACAGCCCCGTGGCTATGGTTCCATGCTTTCCACTACCTATGTCCACACTTTGTTTCGAATATCGTTCAATAGAGGATGTTATTTTATTGAGATTGCATTTTTTTATATGTCCGCATTCGTAAATTTGACCTAGCTTTTTAGTTATTAGCTTCAACATCGGGTATGGATAGTGCCATGGCTATATAATTTGATTTTTTTTATATACAAGCAGATAGCTAAAATAATTTCATATGTTTTGTGCGAAATAAATAGATATAATTTCATACTTAGGGGCCTAAACCTATTTATTTAAAATATATTCACCTAATCCTAATAAGAAAATATAAATATTAAATATTAACATAAAAATGTTAGTGGCTCTTTAAAAACTAGGAAATTTTATAAATTGTAACTTTTGGCTCTTCCGTCTCGAATGTTTGCCGACCCCTGCCCTAGGTTTATTTAACATGACCTAATTTCTCCAACTGCCCCATAGGGTAACCCATTATGACCTAGTTTCTCCAGTTGTCGCTCCCTTGAGTAACCCATTATGATTTAGTTTCTCCAACTGCCCTATAGGATAACCCATTATGACCTAGTTTCTACAACTGCCCTATAGGGTAACCCATTATGACCTAGTTTCTCCAACTGCCTCTAGGGTAACCCATTATGACCTAGTTTCTCCAACTGCCCCTAGGGTAACCCATTATGACCTAGTTTCTACAACTGCCTTATAGGGTAACCCATTATGACCTAGTTTCTCCAACTGCCCCTAGGGTAACCCATTATGACCTAGTTTCTACAACTGCCTTATAGGGTAACCCATCGAGTAACCCATAATGACCTATTTTCTCCGGTTGTCCCACCCTTGAGTAACCCATGATGACCTAGTATAAAAACGTGAACTGATCGTTCTTTCACCATCTTCCAGCCCCCATGGCCATAACGTTAAAGTACATCCACAACCGGAAATGGCGCCGCACCACTTGTTTGGGAAAACATCAAACCATGAAGTCTGTCTAGCCGTGTAACAGTTCAAACCATTTACCATGGACCGAATCACTCTTGGGGGTGTCTCCACTTCCGGTGGAGCAGACCTCTTCTTCAATGCCTCCACCGAGGATCCTTTTCAGAGCAACTCCACTGAAGCTATGTTTCAGAGCAACTCCACGGCGCCCCCGAACAACTTCCGGTTTGAGTATCCCAGGATCCCCTACTGGATTTCCCTGACCTACTTCTGTATGCTGTGTTTGTCAGTGGGACTGGGGATTCCCGGAAATGTCATTACTGCTGCTGCTTATCTTTCCATCAAGGTAATTCGATGTTGTTAAAGTATATTGTGTATATATATACATACATACATATATATATATATATATATATATATATATATATATATATATATATATATATATATATATATATATATATATATATATATATATATATATATTTATATATATATAACGACAAAATTAGTTTTTTCCTTACAACCTGATAGACCTGTGGTTTTGTAAACAAACAGATCTTTTGTACTGAGCTAATTAAAATTCAAAAGCTTTTCTTAATTACTATTTAAATAAGTAATACAAACGAAGGAAATAAACATAAAAATGAATTTATTAAAAATTTATAATGTAAACATAATAAACAAAATAGGAATAAAACGAAGACCGGAAACCAATACATTAGCATCCAATGTTTCATTTACTTTTGACCAAATTGACAGATATGGAGTAAGACTTCACAATTTTTGGTGGGCACAAAATGAGATAAATCACTTTTAAAACTCAATTACTTCAGTCTCGAAATGTGGTTTGTTGCAATGGATAGATCTTTAATTGGCAATGAAATTGGTTAAATTACTAAATTAGGAAATAGTATGCTTTAAAAATTTCTTCTGCGGAGCGCCTTTTTTTTCGATTTCCGCCACTGCTAATATACTGCCGCTAAGTAATTCTGCTAAGTAATTCTAAAACAGGCAGAATGAAATGTTAAATCTATAAAAGGTTGTAGAAAATAGCATTTTAAATAAAAGAACGGTGACTGCCCCTTGACAAAATGCAATAAGTTATCTCCCATTATAAAGTTGTATTAGATTAAATTGACTTGGTCTCTCCCTTCCTGCTTTCCTTGCTTATTGAGAGCTTTCAGTTGCTTCCCTTGTATAGATTGAATGAGTGCTTGTTTAGAGAAGATGAAAGTGTTACAGGCTAAATCTAGGATAAGTGGGTTCTATCAAAATCTCCAATGAACAGACTTCACCTAGGTTTACAGAATGCAAGGCAATTTTATAATCGTTAGTTGTTACATATTTGTTCAAGGAAGTCTATCGAATGGCCCTCATTCTTCTAAGCAAAGTGTCGATACTAAACATAGAAAAATTACTGAATGTTTCATAAGTGAACGCATATAAACAGAATTAAAAATATATAAGGTTTTGAACGGAAAAAACAAAACAAAAAATATATTTTAAAATGGAAAGAACAAAACAAATTGACCCTCAAAACAAATCTTAAACGATGTTAGGGTTTTATTTTAGTATTAGGAGAAACTGAAATTCCTGCGTACAAAAGCACTTTTTCTCCTTTCTAGCTCGATGAACGATTTTACTGTTGTTTTCAGTATTTTGTGCTTGCAAACAGTCACCAAGAGCTATATGTCACTCTATATTTTCATAATCTCTAGTCTAGTTGAAGCATTGAATAACACTTTAGGTTCAATTTTTGGGGGGATTAAGTTTTGAGCAACGTAAAAAAATTTCGGGTTTTGTACTTTGCGGTCAATTTCACTGTTGTACAGAATACCTAGACGTTTTTTGACAGTTGTATATATATATATATATATATATATATATATTTTATATATATATATTTTATATATATATATATATATATATATATATATATATATATATATATATATATATATATATATATATATATATATATATATATATATATATATATATATATCTTGCTCTATGGTTCCAGAACAAGTCCAACTGTGACTGGTACATCTTCTTCATGGCACTATTTGACCTGCTAGCCTGTGTATTCCGGAACACGGCCTTTATCCTGGAGTACCTGGAGGTCTGGCTTGACCTCTCGACCTCAGGCTACTGTCGTTTTATCGTCTGGGTGTCTCAGTCGACCGTGGGCAGCTGCATCTTCTTGTTCGCTCTCATTGCCATAGACAGGTGGGCGTTGATGGTAGCTCTCATTGCCATAGACAGGTGGGTGTTGATGGTAGCTCTCATTGCCATAGACAGGTGGGTGTTGATGGTAGCTCTCATTGCCATAGACAGGTGGGTGTTGATGGTAGCTCTCATTGCCATAGACAGGTGGGTGTTGATGGTCGCTCTCATTGCTATAGGTGGGTGTTGATGGTCGCTCTCATTGCTATAGGTGGGTGTTGATGGTCGCTCTCATTGCTATAGACAGGTGGGTGTTGATGGTCGCTCTCATTGCTATAGGTGGGTGTTGATGGTCGCTCTCATTGCTATAGACAGGTGGGTGTTGATGGTCGCTCTCATTGCTATAGACAGGTGGGTGTTGATGGTCGCTCTCATTGCTATAGACAGGTGGGTGTTGATGGTCGCTCTCATTGCTATAGACAGGTGGGTGTTGATGGTCGCTCTCATTGCCATAGACAGGTGGGTGTTGATGGTCGCTCTCATTGCTATAGACAGGTGGGTGTTGATGGTAGCTCTCATTGCTATAGACAGGTGGGTGTTGATGGTAGCTCTCATTGCCATAGACAGGTGGGTGTTGATGGTAGCTCTCATTGCCATAGACAGGTGGGTGTTGATGGTAGCTCTCATTGCCATAGACAGGTGGGTGTTGATGGTCGCTCTCATTGCCATAGACAGGTGGGTGTTGATGGTAGCTCTCATTGCCATAGACAGGTGGGTGTTGATGGTAGCTCTCATTGCCATAGACAGGTGGGTGTTCCTGGTCGCTCTCATTGCCATAGACAGGTGGGTGTTGATGGTAGCTCTCATTGCCATAGACAGGTGGGTGTTCCTGGTCGCTCTCATTGCCATAGACAGGCGGGTGTTTCCGGTCACTGTCTCAGGTAGCTGTGGCCAGTGTTTCTTCCAGAGTTTTTCTCCGCTGCTGGGGGGGGGGGGGGCATTTGATATTTTCGGAAGGGGGGGGGGGGAAGGACTATATTTCCGAGGGGGGGGGGGGGCGGACACTGGTAAAAGTATATATTTTCTATATACATTCCATTTCTTTTTTTTTGGGGGGGTGGGGGGTGGGGGGGGGGGGTAGGGTGGCGGTAGACATTCCTCCGCAACCCCCCCCCCCTCCCCCCGAAGAAACTCTGGCTGTGGCACAGATCACTGGGCAGGTGTGTTTATTTTAGCCCACCCCCTCCCCCCTCTTCTCTTGACCAGAGGCGTATCTAGTGGAGGGCGTGTGGTGTGCTCGTTCTAATTCACGTTCCAATGGGAAACTTTTTTTCGCAAGAGTAAATAAGTACGGGGAGTGGGGGGTCGCGAAAATTGATATTTCTTCACTTGCTTCACCTCTTCACTTGGCTGCTTTATAGTATATGACACTACATATCACACTTATAACAGAACGACACCCGTTAAATATTGAACAAACTAGGACAATTTGAAAATATTACAATTACGATTGGCGATGTTACATTTACTATTCGGCATATTAGAATTCCTTATTCGTCAGTTGTTGTTTTTTTTTAAAGTTTATTTATACGATTGTTGGTTCGAATATACCAATACGCTAAAATGCAGAAATCCAGTTATTTCAAATTGGATAGTTATAATATTAGTAGCAATATTTCGTATACACCAGAAGCGTAGCGAGGGGGATGGGCGGGGGGACATATGTCCCCGGGCGCCGACCTTAGGGGGGCGCCAAAATGGGTTGGAAAAACAAATGGAAAGTTTGAGGGGTGGGGGTGCAAATCGAAAGTTTGAGGGGGGGGGGTGCAAATTGAAAGTTTGAGGAGGGATAGGGGTGCAAATCGAAAGCTTGTCCCCGAGCGCCGGGAAGGGTCGCTACGCCTCGTGTATACACACTGGAGCAGACTGACTAAATTTTTAGAAGTGGGGGTGGAGAAGTGGATAGCGGACACTGGTAAAAGTATATATTTTCTATATATATTCTATTTGGTTGTGGGGGGGGGGGGGGGGGGAGGAGGTAGATATTATTTCAAGCATGGAACATTTGTGACATTCCGATTTCACGGAATGTTAGTATTATTTACTCACCCATGCTCAGTGGCGTGCAGAGCTATGTTGCTGCCCGGGGCAAAACCAAAGGAAGATGCCCCCCATAAATTGTATATATATATATATATATATATATATATATATATATATATATATATATATATATATATATATATATATATATATATAAATTACGGTGTTTAAAGCGTTAGTAGCCCTACTATTGACGATAAATTATAACACACATTATGTTATTAATCAGAATACGAATAGAAAAGCATTTTAAAAAATCGACTTAGCTGAACTCTTGAGAAGACTCCATGCATATATATCCAAAAGAATGACTGACTCATTCGGGGAGGGAGAAAACAGTATGGGGACATGCCGGATGTTGGGGGGGGGGGAGGGGCTATATGCCAAGCCCAACAAAAGAATTTACAGTTTCCATTACCCTACCGGGGTCGGGCTGCGGTCACCGTTGAATTAAATTGGAAAAAAACTAAAAGGTCAAAGTTCGCCATTGTTTATTGCTACGACTGAGGCCACTGTTGATGTTAGGCCTAGTAAGTTACCCCCCCCCCCCCCCCTCCCCATCTCGAACTTGAACAATGCTGTATTTTATAGAAACACATTGGTGGCACACCTCGTGTGCAGGGAAGAGAACCATGGTCGCCGGGTGATTGTTTGGTGGCTGGCTATGGGTTGATTGAGTGAGCCCTTCCCCCTCCCCCTCCACCCCCTTGTACCTGGTATGTAAATTTGGGATACCCTATTGTATTCTGACCAATGTAGGTGTATTTTTTTTGGATGCCTGTACTAGTTACGGACCTAAAAAATGCTAGTCTTGTCTCGTACGTCGAAGTAGTCGGATACGTAGGAATAAAGCGTCTCGTCTTAACTCGATACATTGAGAAAATATCGATTCTAGTCATAGAGCACAGCGATTTCTGCTTGTGCGCATTGTCGATGTTTGATAGAATTTTAGTATCGCTAAACTTGGGGCCCGCACTTAATGGTCGGCTCTAGGCCCCAAGTATTCATATGCAAACCCTGTATGGGAATTAATCCAGTAACGGCTACCAGGGTCGTTATAACTCCCACAATTCATTAAATCAACGTGGACTCACTTACTTTACAGGTGGCTCTACTATTTATAACATCAGTTCTATTTAAGCGCCCATTTACTTTACAGATAACTTTACTTTGCATTAAAATACTTTAACACAGCTTTTAGTATGCCCTACAATTGATAAAAAATAAAATGGGCACAATTGTTTGAAATGATATCACTACAATGTATATTAAAAATCTGTTGATGCTTATTCTTGAGGGTGTCCTTACAGTGTCTCAGAAACAATACGGACATTCTTATTCTTTAGTATATTCATATGCATCAAAACCGAATAAATTCTCTTGGGTGCCCCTACAAGTTATCTAAAAATAATACGGGCTTACTTCATCTGCAAATGCCCTTTTAATCACAAGCAAAAATAAAATAAATTATTCGAAAATCGCTCTAATGCAATAAAGTGGTTTAAATTGTTCGTTCAATGGCCAGTGGTTAGAATAAAAGTCATGCGTTTAGGTATATTATATAAAGAGACAGTGTTAGTAAGCACACAATTTTAGACAAATTACAATATCAACAAGCATTAGTGGTTAAAATTAAAACAAATAGGAAACCATTGACAGATTTGGACACTTTATATAATTAGTTCGAATTGTGGGAAAAACACCGTTTTCGGCTATAGAATCCAAGAGAAATGTCTCTCAAATGTAATAAGAACGCTCAGTAGTGTGGGGTTTAGGGGTGGGTGACAGTAGATGCTTTGGCTTTGGGGTGGGTGAAAGTTGGGGGGGGGGAGGTGAAAGATCACGCAGACTGTGCATTTAAATATATGGCTATGGGATGGAACATCCCAAAAAAAGTCTCCAGATTCGAGTACTACATTACTGGATCTCTGGCCGTGCCAATAGAGCGTCTAGGTATTACATTACCGGTCTTACAATAGAAGGTTTGTGCCTAAAGTGAGGGGGGGGGGGGAACAAGTGACAGCCAGCTACACCTTATTTATGTGTTTTTGGACAGTACGACCGGGCGGCCGCGAATGCCGGTAATTAAGAAGTGTGAGACTTAAGGACAACTTTAGAATGAAGTTAACTCGGCCCGGCCCAGTGTATCAAAACAGTACGGACTTGAAAGTTTGTATTTAACCGTACACAAAAATCCAAATGGCCATGAATAAAGAATATCATTAGAATAACAAAAAACCAAGAGGATGTGCGCTTAATCAGTCTACGAATGCCGTTACGTCCATCAAAATGAACAAGGATGCCCTACAAACATTATGCAATGAATAGAAACATAATAAAGATGCCCGATAAAATATGAAGCGAAAAGGGCATAATTACTGTAGGGATGCCCTTCAGACATTCAATAATGAATATAAGCATAATAAATATCCGATAATATATAAACGAATATGGGCATAATTGCTGTAATTATATAAATACAAACGTGAATACAAGTAAATTACTTTAAAGTTGCCCTGACGATATATAAAATGAATGCGGGCATAATTACTGTTTGGATGCCCTTCAAAAGTATTATGATGAATATAAGCAAATTACATTAAAGATGCCCCTACAGTGTGTAAATTATAATCATGGGCTTTAATACTCTATGGATGACCACAAAGTATAAAATGATTATGGGCGTGTTCTCTAAAAGATGCCCCTACAGTGTGTAAATTATAACCATGGGCTTTAATACTCAATGGATGACCACAAGTGTATAAATTGATTATGGGCGTGTTCTCTAAAAGATGCCCCTACCGTGTGTAAATTATAATCATGGGCTTTAATACTCTATGGATGACCACAAGTGTATAAAATGATTATGGGCGTGTTCTCTAAAAGATGCCCCTACAGTGTGTAAATTATAATCATGGGCTTTAATACTCTATGGATGACCACAAGTGTATAAAATGATTATGGGCGTGTTCTCTAAAAGATGCCCCTACCTACACAAGTATCAGATACTCTATTAATTCAAAGACTGCATACATTTATTCGGGGAATATCAATGACTACTACACCACTACCCTTCACCGATGCCCCTTTCTCCCTGAAGGTTGTACGACACGGACAGTACGATGACTATATCAGTGCCATGTGTTGATTGTATATACACATTTCGGTGAATTCGGGCAAATTGTGATAATTTGATAATTCTGCCTAGCTAGACAAACCTTAGTAGACATTTAGCTTTCCTAAAAAAAAAAAAAAAAAAAAAAAAAAAAAAAAAAAAAAAAAAAAAAAAAAATTAAAAATTAAAAATTAAAAAAAAAAAAAAAAGACATTTTTTTTACCCCCTTTGGATGCCCCTTTGATGTGGCTGCCCGGGGCCTGGGCCCCCTCCGCCCCCCCCCTCTGCACGCCACTGCCCATGCTCGTTAGACCGTAAACACTGCTTAGGCAGCTCTGATTCATGTCACGATTCCCTCATTTAATGCAATACTAGTCAACGTTTTTTAGTATACTTGCTAGTACAAAAAATTGATTTTTTCCCCCCAAGTATAGTAAGCCGTCCTGGCTAAAATCAATCCCCGTAACTCTAGGAGTTTTCAAGTTCAAGGTTTAAAATCATGTGTTTATCTCCCTTTACTGCGTGTCATGTTATAACTCATATTATCTGGGTATGAAAATTGTGAGTCTCCTGGCCTTTACGAATACAACATTTAAATCCTAATCACGCGTATAGATATGAATACACTTGCTTTATTTTACACTAGGGTATTGTATATCATTTCCTTGTAAATGTTTCAACTTGGTAATAATAACGTAACACAAAGATAAAGTCAATTATTCACAGCCAAGATGGATGCGATGTCTAATAAGAAACATAGATTGCATGATGTATAACAAACCTTCACTTCGCGATTTCCAGCAAAAATTACATCCCATGATATCGAACAAAAAATACATCCCATGATTTCCAGCAAAAAATATATCCCATGATTTCAAGCAAAAAATATATCCCATGATTTCTAGCAAAAAATATATCCCATGATTTCCAGCAAAAAATATATCCCATGATTTACAGCAAAAAATATATTCCATTATTTCCATAAAAAAATATATTCCATGATTTACAACAAATGTACACTTCGCGATTTAAAATAGATAAAATGATTTACAAGTTTCCTTTTCAACCTGATTGTCGACTGGGGCAGTAGAGTTCTCCTATTTCAGTGACCTTGGCATGATGAGATGGTGCTGTCAGCATTATGCCCAGCCGCCTTTACTTTCCCTAATATGAGTCAGGTACCCATCAGAGCTGGGTGGACGACTTCAATACCGGGTTCCAAACACGAGACTTTCGGTTCAGCTGTCCCATGCTCTATCAACAAACCACGGCATCCCTTTCAACAAACTTAGATCCCATCATTTACAACAACCTCACACTCAATGATTTATAAACGGCATATATTCCGTATATTCCATGATTTACAGCAAACACTCAATGATTTATAAACGGCATATATTCCGTATATTCCATGATTTACAGCAAACACTCAATGATTTATAAACGGCATATATTCCGTATATTCCATGATTTACAGCAAACACTCAATGATTTATAAACGGCATATATTCCGTATATTCCATGATTTACAGCAAACACTCAATGATTTATAAACGGCATATATTCCGTATATTCCATGATTTACAGCAAACACTCAATGATTTATAAACGGCATATATTCCGTATATTCCATGATTTACAGCAAACACTCAATGATTTATAAACGGCATATATTCCGTATATTCCATGATTTACAGTAAACACTCAATGATTTACACCACGCATCTATTCCATCATTTACAAACAATCTGACTATTTATATTTATTTATATTTTATTTATATTTATTTATTGATATTTATATTATATATATTTACAAACACCGACTCCATGTTTTACAATAAAAGACAACAATTTTTCTGTCAGATACTTCAAACTGTGCAACATCTCCCAGGAAACGATAACTCCGCAGAAATCAAGAAACATAACTCTTGTCTTGACCCTGGTCAACGTCCTCACGGCCGCCCCCTGTCTCTACCTGTTCGACAACCTTGACAGGGGCGTGTGTCAAGTCAAGACTGAGATGGTCAACAACCCATTTGTCAAAGCGTACTACAGGTAGCACCAGTGGTATCATGTCGGGTTAGCTGTTATCATATCGTGGGGTTTAGTGTTAGGGTTATGGTTGTTTGAAACAAAAGATTGGCAACCTTATGTATTTTAATCCTAAGACTTACGCTAATCCTAAGACTAACCCTGATCCTAAGACTTACGCTAATCCTAACAGTTAGCTCTGATTTATAGTGCGACTGAATCCATAAAATCATCTATTGTTTTTATTTTAAACAGATTTTCGTGGGTTCTTTTGATTACTCACTCAATAGTTAAGTTTATGTATGTATATATATATATATATATATATATATATATATATATATATATATATATATATATATATATATATATATATATATATATATATATATACATATACATATGTATATATATATATATATATATATAATATTATATATATATATATATATATAATATATATATATATATATATATATATATATATATATATATATATATATATATATATATATATATATATATATATATATATGTTTGTGTATAATGGTTGATTTTTCATGAAATACAGTGATATTTTTAAATTCAATTTATTGATTCCCAATAAAAAAAAAACCTTTTCCCGACGGATTTAAATAGGGAAGTGATGAATAATATTCTTGTCAATAGACGCGCAGAAAAAAATTCTAATCGTTGTCGTGTTTACGTATTTCAGCATCATCTTTATTCTATTCCTTCTCATGATGCTCATCGTTGTCTACTGTTACATCAGCATCGCGGTCAAGGTCAGTCACTTTTTTAAAATAAACATCTCCCCATAAAAATAATCCTTCTTAGTTTAACCCGGTGACACCCTTTAGAAAATGGGTGACACCAAATTGGATATAAAATTAATGTATCGAGCAAACTGAACTCTAAAGTAACACAAAACGTTTCAACTAGACGTCGCGCGTCTTGTTCCAACCAATCACAGAGCTCGTACCTTACAGGTTCGGCGATCCCGGCGTGTCGGTCTGGTTGAGCGGGAGTTTGTTTACAAGAGCGAGATCGCTGACGAGTTGTCCTCCCATTCCATCAGCTTCAAGGTGAGTCTTCTTGTTGTTGTCTAGGGTCACCAAGTGTTTAACCTTGACCTTTAACCTTCCCGCGCCTCTCGGATGTTTTGATGTCAGGTTACACCAATGTACAATACAGTAGCCATCATTAATTACTGACACCGGCTGTTTTTGTTCTAATCCCCGGCATTCCCTGAACTGATGTTATTATGTTCTCCCACCATTCCTTGTTTGTTGTATCCAAGACTCCAGTCATTCCCTGTTTACATTCCAGAATCGTACCATTCCCTGTTTTTATTCCTCACTCCCATCATTCCCTGTTTTTATTCCTTACCTCCACGATTCCCTGTTTATATTCCTTACCTCACCATTCCCTGTTTTTATTCCTCACTCCCACCCTTACCTATTTTAATCTGCACTCCCACCATCAGAGGCGTAGCGAGGGGGGGGGGGTACATATGACCCCGGGCCCCGAACTTAGGGGGCGCCAAAATGGGTCATAAAAACAAATTAAAATCTCATTTTAGTTGCATATTTGCATTATAAATATAAAAAATATATGGGGGCGGTGCAAATTGAAAGTTTGAGGCATGGGGCGCCAAATTGAAAGTTTGTCCCCGTGCGCTGGGAACGGTCGCTACGCCTCTGCCCACCATTCCCTGTTTTTATTCCTCCCCCCACCATTCCCTATAACTAATACACCATTCCCTATTATCTCTCCGTGTACAGAGACAGCTAACGACTACGACCTCCGACGAATCCATCCTGACCCATCTTACATCTGACGCCCCTTGTGTACCGCAGGGGTCATCCACAGTTCAAGGTCAGGAGCGCCCCGGTCAACCACAGCACTTCGACCGACACGTGATCAACCTTGAACTTCCTTCAGCAAACAGAACGGATGTGAGACTTGTGCGAGGTCAGTCTCTCGCCGCTAGAGGCGGGGGAGGAGAAAGTGGCTCGAGAACAGCATTCCCGTCTAGCGCTCGGTCTAGCAGAACCGCTGACCCGACGACCTTGGGACCCACTGGAATAGCAGAGTCCATGAACACAGGGTCTATCGGCATAGCAGGGGCGATAACCAATGGCCACATCGGCACAACAGGGGTGATAACCAACGGCAACAGCGGTACAGCCGGACAGCTGACCTCAGGCGCTACCGGAGTTGCCTCCCCCCTGACCATCTTACACGCCCAGCGCGAGTTCGTTCGTCAGCAGAGGAACATCCGGGTCACGGGGCTTCTCTTTGTCGTCACTTCCGTCTTCATCCTGAGCTGGATCCCGCCCTACGCCGCCATGATCAAGGGCTTCTTCGTGGGCTACACCTGGCCGCTCTCCACGGGGGAGCTGGTCCTGAGCAGCTACGGGGCAAATGTTTACGTCATCAACACCTTCTCCAACCCCGTCATATACGCCGCCATGAGCGTGACGTACCGGAAACACGTCAAAACGTTGTTTACAAAAATTAAAATTAGCGTACATAACTTCTTTTACCGGTAGTATAAAAAGTATGAGCTTGTTAAATTTCGTAAGGAAACGGAAAAAGCTGTCCCAATTCCAGCGAGTTTCTGCGATGTTAGAACGAACGTCTGCAAAGCGTAACGAAAATTGTTACAACAACCTCTCTAGTCTGACCTATTGACCCAGTTAGCTAGTGAAAACTTGTTTACGATTGCGCTTAGCTAAAGAAGAGGCGTAGCGACCGTTTCCGGCGCCCGGGGCGAACTATGATGTGCCTCTCCCCCAACCCAATCATGTGCGCTTCTTACAACTCTTAGTTTTAATTCTGCTGTCACGCTGTCGATGTAGACAAATGTTTAGTCAGTCTGTTAAGCCTGGTAAACATTCTAGTTTTTTAGCTTTGACTGTGTATAATTCAGCGATTCAGCTCTTTGGGCGCCTCATATGATCAGCGCCCAGTACGGCATCCCTACCGCCCTCCCTTAGCTACGCCTCTAAAGCTAAAGAAGAGCTGATATGGACCAAAAGGGAAACTATCGAAATAAATAAAAAATCATTTTTTTTCGAGTTCATTACCCTGATAGCATAAAATGTTATATTCTTTCAATGAGCATATCTGCTTGATTAGTTGAATGTCGTGGTTTAACTGCTACTTGAAGACAGATAAAGGACCACAAGTTTATATCTACTAGACAGAAGAACCACAACAAGGTTAAAGCTAGACGTTTGTACATAGCGATTCCATCTTACTCTTTTTGGCTTCTTAATGAGCATAAGATTAAAAGTGTACATTAGTAATGTCAAAATGTTTTTATTTAATTGAGTCTGAAGGGTGTATAGAATTACTGATGTTTCAAATCATTAAAGTGTGAATCTTTATTATCGATCAATTTATTTTTAAATAGTAATAAATCTGGTATTAAAAGGATAGAAAAATAATGGTAACATGTGTTAGAGGTGTGGTAGGACTAGAGCGCACGATTGTTTACCCGAATGTCCCTAGTTCAGATGGCGCGCTAAAGTCATACTTGAGTTCAAAGGTCGCTCCTGAGTCCACACTATTAGTAAAAGTAAACACTGCTCATTATAGCGCTGACCACACAATGTTTTTAAATGCCGAGGGCACAGAAACAGGTAAACTCGACCTTATATTCAAGGCGCGGAGACATCAACGGGAGGTAACCGAAGTATTTGTCTGACTAGTCTACGTAAACAGTAGTTGTCGTTACTGTTTTAAGAAGAAAAGGTAAATGAAACCCAAGATTGGAATATATTACAATTTATCAAATTTGCTGTAATGTAATTAATCAAGTTTGGTGTAATTAATCAAGTTTGGTGTAATAAATCAAGTTTGGTGTAATTAATCAAGTTTGGTGTAATTAATCAAGTTTGGTGTAATTAATCAAGTTTGGTGTAATTAATCAAGTTTGGTGTAATTTATCAAGTTTGGTGTAATTTATGTTTTGAGATGTTAACAATGTGTAATGTGTTGACGTACAGGTGGTGTGTGTGTGTGGGGGGGGGGGGGGGGGGGTTTAATTACATTAATGGCAAATTAAACATTTAAAAAAAAAAACAACCAACCTAAGAGGTGGACCAAATACATCGATAACATATACAAAAAATCACATACACAACATGCAGACAATGAATAAATAACATCAACATTATAAGGATCAATCACATACATAAGGTACAGACAAATCACATAGAGAAATTACTAACAAATCACATATACAAGATGCAGACAATTATCTAATTACATAGACATGATATGGTCCAATCACATACATAAGGTACAAAAAAATTACTAACAAATCACACTGAGGCACATAAAATTATCTGTAGACAAATCACATTCTACTGAGTTAAACATAAACTACAAACTTCAATCAAAACATAATGCTTCAATTAAACACATCTTGAATAAAGATTCAACAAACAAAATTAAGTAAAAAAATATATTTTTACTATTTTTTGGTTTATTCTTTATAACTTGTTCAGTTTCAAAATATCTAATCATTAAAAGAACAAACCAATAATACCACACAATACAAGCAGCTTAATATTATGCAAACGTGAGCTATTAAAAAAAAATTCTCTTTAGCTGTACAGAAATATAAACTGAAGAAAACTGTTTGGCAAATATTAGAGTTATCAAGGACTGGCAATTGCTTCCAATCCTTAGACTGCTCTAAAACATGTGAAATATTTTTTGAAACATGTGAACTCTAAAACAAGTAAACTACTCAACAATATATGAACTAACATTAAATAAATACGTTGAAAGAACTAATCCCACCATAAACTAGCTGAATATTTTGGCTGCCTTCAACCACATATTACTACAAACCATAAAAAGATTTGCAGTCAACCACCCATAGGTTGCAGTCAACCACCCATAGGTTTCAGTCAACCACCCGGCCATAGGTTTCAGTCAACCACCCATAGGTTGCAGTCAACCACCCATAGGTTGCAGTCAACCACCCATAGGTTGCAGTCAACCACCCATAGGTTTCAGTCAACCACCCATAGGTTTCAGCCAACCACCCATAGGTTGCAGTCAACCACCCATAGGTTGAAGTCAACCACCCATAGGTTGCAGTCAACCATCCATTGGTTGCAGTCAACCACCCATAGGTTGCAGTCAACCACCCATAGGTTGCAGTCAACCACCCATAGGTTGCAGTCAACCACCCATAGGTTGCAGTAAACCACCCATAGGTTGCAGTCAACCACCCATAGGTTGCAGTCAACCATCCATAGGTTGCAGTCAACCATCCATAGGTTGCAGTCAACCACCCATAGGTTGCAGTCAACCACCCATAGGTTGCAGTCAACCACCCATAGGTTGCAGTCAACCACCCATAGGTTGCAGTCAACCCTAATGTTGTGGTGGTATTTGATGTGTTAATGACAAATAATGGTTTATCAGTTGTGGTTCTGTAATGATACCATAACGTCATTATGTAATCATGTGACACAGATGGGATGTAATCACTGTCAAATACAAGGCTGATAAATTGTGCTCTTCTGTTTCTATGGGTTTTCTAGGGGCAGAGCTCTTCAGTTTCTATAGGTACAGCCTTTCAGTTTCTATGGCTAGAGCTCTTTTGTTTCTATTGTTAGTCTATGGCTAGATCCCTACTGTTTCTATAGCTAGAGCCTTCTGTTTCTAAAGGTTATATCTTATGTGATTGGTTTAGTATCAGCCTGTCATTTGATCAAGCGAAACATACACCATAAAGCTGCGAATGTCACATATTTAGAACTGTGTATGAGTTGTGTGTCAGATGTTGTGTTAAATGTCACGAGTTGTGTTTGTCAGATGTTATTTTAAATGTCATGAGTTGTGTATGTCAGTTATGTTAAATGTCACAAGTTGTGCATGTCATATGTTATGTTAAATGTTACAAGTTGTGTACATCAGATGGTGTGCTTGGTCATAAATCCGATGGTTGTTATATGTCATACATGTCATATGGTGTCAGATGTCATGTCAGATGGTGTGTCAGATGGTGTGTCAGATGTCAGATGGTGTGTCAGATGGTGTATTACATGCCATGCATGACTCACTATCACAGAGTCACAAATAAATTACAAAAAAAAAGCCAGCAGCATGAAAGAAAAGATCATGAAATCAGGAAATCAAGTGGAAACACAAACAAAATTCTCGCAAATGAAGAACAGGAGATGTCGCAACCAAACTGACTAGAACAGCTGTTTAATAATTTAACACACAGACACTGCCATTAATGAAGGAATTCGTAGTCAGATCATACAGCTTCTATTCCAAAAAGAAGTCTCAAATTTGGATCCTAGGCTCTGTAGGCTGTCACTGAGTCCACCCAGCTCTAATTTAGTACCTGACTTATATTACTCACGGTAAAGGCAGCTGGGCATAGTGCTGACTACACTATCCCTTCATATAATGAAGTCAATAAATCAGGTAAACTTATACCTGCCCCATGGGTCGTTAGGTTCAAAAGCATACTTTATTTTATTTTTTCTATAATAATTATTTTAGTACCGATAGTGTACATTTAAAAACATTTTTTCTCTTAAAAGTGATTATTTAAAAAAATAAAATTTTGTTAGTGCATTGTATAAAATCAGCAAGATTAGTTTTAAATAACCTACACAAGCAAAATTGTTCATTCACAATGTTTTGTAAGAACATACTACTTCAAAATTTGAACAGGAACAAAAAAATGAAAACAAAAGAATGAGAAAACAAATGAGCCACATGAACTAAGAAATGACTAACACATTGAACCAAAACTGAACTTAAAAAGCTGGAGTAACTGGACGGACTAAGCAATAATTAGATATTTAGAGTATTGACAAACACACCCAGCCCACACATTAACCCAACCCACACAGAACTGTGAAGGTGGATCATGGGGGTGATATTTGGTATCAAGAGCAAAGCTCTGTCATTACAAATAACTTTAGGTATGTGTGTTGCACAAACATTGAATACGAGTATGTAATCTTCATTGAATTTGGGTATCAAGAGCAAGGCTCCGTCATTATAAATATCTTAGGTATGTGTGTTGCACAGAAATTGAATATGAGTATGAAATCTTCATTCAAATTGGGTATCAAGAGCAACAACTCTGTCATGACCAATATCTTTAGGTATACCTTTAACATGGATGTCAAGATATGAGCATAATGTGTTGAAATGTTCACTAGAATAAAAGTCAGATTTAAAGGCCTGTTTCTATGTTATTGCTTAAGTCAAGATTGGAATGAATGTAAAAATTGTGAACTATTTTTTTTTTTAGAAACAGGAACAAAAATTGTCGTGTGATATAGATCCATACAAAAATTAAAATACCATTTTTACTTTTATTTATATTCATGGGAAATAAAATTCAGCTTTACTGGAAGAAATTTTAACTGGTTTGCTAAATTAACCAAAATCTAAAACCTTATTCCTGAAATAAAAATCCCACCACCTCAAAGTATTGACCAAACTAGGTAAAGATGAAAAGAAAGGCACAAAAATAAACCAATGAAATGTGAGGATGGCTATACATAAGATGGAAAGTTGGAATCTATTATCACAGATAAGCAGAGATATATCAACAGATTGACTGACTTAGAAGTGATCAAAGTGGGGAACTCTAGAGTCTTCAATCTGTTACAGATTCATAGACATCTGAGTTCAGCCACTCATCATGTGAGCAATGCCCAAGTACTTCCCTTAACTATCATGCCCAAGTAGCTTCCCTTAAAAATCGTTTCCAAGTTATTTCCCTTGAGAATCATGTCTAAGTTATTTCCCTTGAGAATCATGTCTTAGTTATTTCACTAAACAATCAAACAAGTTACTTCTCCTTACAATCTACACCCTTGTACAGATCATCATAAATACAACTGGAAATTCATATTTAGAAAAACCCTCCAGCATGGGTATCAACATATTTTTAAAAAGTGGTTTTAAATACTGTGAAAACCTAAGGTTAGAAAGGAAATTTTTTTTAAAAATTACTTAAGAAAATGAAATTAGCTAATAATAATTCAATTATAACATTTTTGTCACCAACAGGATCACTTAAAATTGCTAATCTTTTTAATGAATCATTTTATAAATGCCCTAATTCACACAAAGTAATGTATCTAATGTATTATTTTTTTAAAAAAAAAATTGGGGGCTCTGAGCCATAATACACATAATTTTTTAAAACAATTTCTTTTCATATACATTTTCCTGAGGTAGTTTTTCTATTCCAGTCAGGAGTCTTGGAAATGTGATAACATTAATATATAAACTGGTACGTTTCATCACATACGAATCAATAATATCACTGTCCAACAATACATAATGTTGCATTTTTGCAACACATATTAAAGTCAATTATAATGTACTCTGATTGATCCACACGTAATATTGTTTAACACTTGAAATTTTTTTTATCAGCACTTGTAAAAAAAACAAAACACAATGCCTAAGTAGTGGTATCATAAAAAAATTATCCTGGCTTTATCCACGTTGATTGGCGACAGCTTGCTTTATTAAACAACACTTAACAAGTGCCATAATCACAAAATTTCGTTGCTGGTAGCTTGATTTAGAAAACAACAACTAACAGGTGCCATGATCATGAAATTTTGTTTCTGATGGCTTTCAAACTCAGTTAAAGTTCAGCATCTTCTTTTTTAAAAAAACCATCCCAAAGAACACTATCATCATAAAACTTTGCCCCTTAGAAATATGAACACTGTCAACAGCTTTCTCCAAAAAAAATACCCACACAGTGCCATGATTATGAAATTTTGTTACTGATACTATCCATATTCTCTTGAAGGCCAACATCTTGCTTTAAAAAAAAAAAAAGAGCGCCATAATCCGAAAATAAGAACACCACCTAATTAACACCACCTAAAGAACACCACCTAAAGAACACCACCTAAAGAACGCCATCATCACAAAACTTTGTTCCGGACAATATCCAAGTTCTTGTACCACGTGGTGTCTATGGCCAACTTGCCAGCGTACTCCACCAGGGTCATGTTCAGGTGCCACTCCTCCAGGCAGTCCAGCGCCGTGGGCTGGAAGTCTATGATAAGTTTGTTGGCAAACAGCTCCCTGCGGTTGACCAGCAGCTCCAGATCATGGACACCAAAGATGCAAACTCTCCGCACCCTCTTGCCTCCGCAGGGCCAGGAGAAGGGGTATCTAAAAATAGACAAAACATTCAGTAATGGAATATAATTGATTATTTCTTATTAAAACTGAAAAGGGGTATATAAAAAGAGACAAAACATTCAGTAATGGAATATAATTGATTATTTCTTATTAAAACTGAAAAGGGGTATATAAAAAGAGACAAAACATTCAGTAATGGAATATAATTGATTATTTCTTATTAAAACTGAAAAGGGGTATCTAAAAATAGACAAAACATTCAGTAATGGAATATAATTGATTATTTCTTATTAAAACTGAAAAGGGGTATTTAAAATGGACCAAACAAAACATTCAGTAATGGAATATAATTGATTATTTCTTATTAAAACTGAAAAGGGGTATTTAAAATAGACCAAACAAAACATTCAGTAATGGAATATAATTGATGATTTCTTATTGAAACTGAAAAGGGGTATCTAAAAATAGACCAAACAAAACATTCAGTAATGGAATATAATTGATGATTTCTTATTGAAACTGAAAAGGGGTATTTAAAATAGACCAAACAAAACATTCAGTAATGGAATATTATTCATTATTTCTTATTGAAACTGAAAAGGGGTATCTAAAAATGGACCAAACAAAACATTCAGTAATGGAATATAATTGATTATTGCTTATTGAAACTGAAAAGGGGTATTTAAAATAGACCAAACAAAACATTCAGTAATGGAATATAATTCATTATTTCTTATTGAAACTGAAAAGGGGTATATAAAAATGGACCAAACAAAACATTCAGTAATGGAATATAATTGATTATTGCTTATTGAAACTGAAAAGGGGTATTTAAAATAGACCAAACGAAACATTCAGTAATGGAATATAATTCATTATTTCTTATTGAAACTGAAAAGGGGTATCTAAAAATGGACCAAACAAAACATTCAGTAATGGAATATAATTGATTATTGCTTATTGAAACTGAAAAGGGGTATTTAAAATAGACCAAACGAAACATTCAGTAATGGAATATAATTCATTATTTCTTATTGAAACTGAAAAGGGGTATATAAAAATGGACCAAACAAAACATTCAGTAATGGAATATAATTATTTCTTATTAAAACTGAAAAGGGGTATTTAAAATAGACCAACAAAAACATTCAGTAATGGAATATAATTCATTATTTCTTAATAACAATGAAGATGGGTATCTAAAAATAGATTTAAAAATTCTATGATGGAATAAAAACAATTACAAGGGATATCTAAAAATAGACCAAACAAATATTCAGTAAAGGAATAAAATCAATTAATTCTAATTCACAAGGAAAAAGGGGTATCTAAAAATAGCTCAAACATACATTTAGAAAAAAAAAATAGAATTAATTATTTCCTCACTATGCAAGAGGGATATCAAAAAGTAGTTCAAACAAATGTTCAGTAATAGAATATAACCAACTATTTCTTATTCACAATACCAACATGGTATTTTTAAAAAAAGCAATTTTCAAAAAAAATGTTTTAAAAAATCAAGGTCAAATTTTTAGTTTTCCTTTATTGAAAATTAAAATATTAAACTTGTATTTTTTTTTTTTTATTAAACTTGTAATGTTTTTTTTTTTTTTTTTAATACTTTTATTTGCAATTAAAACAAGTACATCAACATCAAATTTTTTAACATAATTTTGAACACCAAATGAAAACGAAAGGTTTTGCAAATGTACATAGTGAATATTTACATGATGTCATGTATTTCATTATAAAAAAAAAAAAAAAAATTGCAAAGGATGACAGTAAAAGGGGTGAAGGTCAAATGAAAGTGTCAGAAGTCTGGGTGGGGAGAGGAAAGGAAATTTTTCAGAGAGGGTCAATGGGACAGTGAAGCATTTTCTATGTAGGGAAACAACTGAAGTTGACTAGTTGAAAGGGTGTTGTAGTGGTCGCATTGAGTTTTCAAAAGGTTGCAGTGTGAAAGATGAGGGGAAAGAGACAAGATTTAGAACTTTAAATAAGTTCTGGTGGAACAGTTAAAGGGATTGTGGGGTTATCATGTCTGGGGGTAAAGTGGATAGAGGGGGAGAGAGGAGGGGGTAGATTTTTTTTATTTTTATTTTATTAAACTTGTAATGTTGTAATGTAACTTGTACCAATGATGGTACCCAGTAACCCAGTAACAATGATTGTAATTAGCAAGTAAATAAAGAAATTTATACTTAAATTTTCTTATTGCTTTGTTTTTATAAATATCAACCCTAAAAATATTTGAGATACTTTTCCCAATGCATCACACCAGAGTTCAACCTTCAAACAATGATCAACTATTGTCTAAAAGCTTCACTTGATCCATTTTCCACACTAGTAAAGAACTAAAACTGCCAGTTTGTAATTTTTTTTTTTACTTTGCCAAAAAAACAAATCTTACCTCCCTTGGCTGTCAAGCCAACCCACTCCCCAGTTGACAAATCTGGCAATGAAAGGTTTGCTGATGGCATTGGTTTCTGGATTCCCTGAAACATGCACACAAATTGTATACAACTTTTATGCTAAAAACATACAACTTTTTAAGTACAGACAGTTGTTATATATTTTATGGTGAAAACAGTTGTAAGCACTATTTCTGAGTAAATGAAAATAAAAAAAAAGAATTCATTTTAAATATCATAATATCATAAATATCATAGATATATTTAAAATGAATTATACATATATATATATATATATATATATATATATATATATATATATATATATATATATATATATATATATATATATATATGCATGTATGTGTATATGTATATATGTATATGTATGTATATTTATATGTATGTATATGTATGTGTATGTATATGTATATGTATGTATATGTATATGTATATGTATATGTATATGTATATGTATATGTATATGTATATGTATATGTATATGTATATATATATATGTATATTTATATATATATATATATATATATATATATATATATATATATATATATATATATATATATATATATATATATATATATATATATATTTGTAAGCCAATATTTTGGTGAAAACAGTTTTTATGAAAGAAGCTGAAAATATAAATAGAATATTTTACAAGATTTATCAGCAGTTTCTAAAAATAAATAAAAAAATAATTATTCTCCTGAGTATGGAAAGGAAGTATGACCTCACCCTTATATGAGCCAGGGACCTTGAGATGGGGGTTGTGGTTAAGTGTGGAGAAATATGACTCATCTGGGAAGTCTGTGTGGCGCACCCACTCCAGCAGCTCGCTGGCCACAGGGTTGTGGAGGATGTAGTCCACGTAGCCGCGGCTAGCTAGCATGAAGACGAGGCCCTTATACGGCTGGATGTTGTGGGGTGGAGGCATATTTTCATACCATCTTCTTGAGTAGTGGCTGGTTGAGAAATTTTTTTTTTTTTAAAGATCAAGCAACATGCAATATTTAATTCTTTTTCTAAGGTTGTGCACCGTTGACTTAGCTATAGTAGGCCTATAGTATAGTCAACTATTTAAAAACCACTGAGAAAAACAAATTTCAACTATTTTAAAATAATTTATTCCAACATTTGACCAAATGATCTGAATAACTGGACTAAGACCTTAGTACAAAATTTGACAAAATGATCTAAAACAAGCATACACTGTTTAAATATATTCTTAGAAAATTAGAAAGTCATCTAAAAACACAATCTTCGTTAATAAGAAAAAATAAAAACAAGCTTTAAATAAACTGTTGCCCTGCATTAATGCTCAAACTGGTTGCAAGTAAAAAAATCCAAATCAAATTGACAATTTAAAAAGATCTCAAAAAAGGTATTTTCAATTATTTTTTTACTATCTTTACCTATTGAGTGTGTATGTAGGCTAAATTTAATTATTCCTCACTTAATTTATTGAGGGGCGATGTACACCAAATTTAATTATTATTATTGAGTGTGCATGAATGGTAAATTTAATTATTTATATCTCTAGCTTTTGAGTGTGTGAGTGTGTACTCACCCATAGGTTGTGGTGTCCACGACATTAGAACCATTGAGTGCCTTGAGTATTTTGATAATCTGAAGATTGGTTTTCAGAGGGAATTCCTGGCCAGTGAGATTGATGAAATACTTCCAGGAATAGCGCCAGAGATCTCGCATACAGTAGATCCACGGTTCAAGAGAGCTGAGGGATAAAAGTAAATGGCGAGGATAAAATTCTTTTCAACATTGGTCAGATATTGAGAAATAAAATTATTTTCAACATTGATTAGATATTGGTATGGATGAAATTATTTTGACATTGAGAAAGATAAAACTACTTTCAGCATTGGTAGGACATTGTCTGGGATAAATATACTGTCAATATTATTGGGAAATTGACAAGGATAAGCTTTTTATTACCACTGGTGTGATGTTGGCAAGCATATAACTATTTGCAACATTAATAAGAAATGGGATAAGATTAAATAATTTTCATCCGTGGTGGAAAATTAGCCTGGAATAATTGGAGCTTATTTCCAAAACACTGCCTCTAAAACTGGTGCAGTTGTTTCACGCTTGGGCCAGGTGCCACATAAAAACTAGCAAGAGATTCAACCTGCCAGATTGTTTCACAGTTCAGTTAAAAGAACACTGAAGCCAACTAAACACACTATATTTATTTTTAAATTAAAAACAATTTTTTGGTTTTAACTGGACAGATTTGTTTTATCATGTAGATTGGATAAAGACTGGATATTCAATAGCAATTTATTAAATCTATTTGATAATTTTTAACTAGCTTCTAAAATTTTAAAAAATTTAACATGTTTACAGTCATCTACATACTGTATTTTATTTTAACAACAATGTACTTTGAAAAAAAAAATGTTTAAGTGGACTAAAAAATGAATAGTACTTGAATTGTGCCCAGTCAACAATATTCTGTTTGCTGGCTAGAAAGACATTTTTAAAGCATCCAGAGATTCCCCTCATGGCCTCCTGGATGTCCTTGTCTGCTTTAGCATCCACGTGTATGCAGTAGTAGTTTGTTGGGCGGTAGATGGCTCGCAGTAGCCTCTCTGCCTGGTCAGCATCTCTGTACATCATGATGCTGTCAGATCATTAGAAAGTTGATTGTTACATGTACATCATGATGCTGTCAGATCATTAGAAAGTTGATTGTTACATGTACATCATGATGCTGTCAGATCATTAGAAAATTGATTGTTACATGTACATCATGATGCTGTCAGGTAAATTGATTGTTACATGTACATCATGATGCTGTCAGGTAAATTGATTGTTACATGTACATCATGATGCTGTCAGGTAAATTGATTGTTACATGTACATCATGATGCTGTCAGGTAAATTGATTGTTACATGTACATCATGATGCTGTCAGATCATTAGAAAATTGATTGTTACATGTACATCATGATGCTGTCAGATCATTAGAAAATTGATTGTTACATGTACATCATGATGCTGTCAGATCATTAGAAAATTGATTGTTACATATATATATGTACATCATGATGCTGACAAATTTGATTTGGCTGACAGGATTTAGTGTTTATATATAAATATTTCTACATCCTGATGTCAAACATTGTAAAAATTCTGATTTTACTGACATAGTTGTACATACTGTGTTATAGAAAATTATGAAATAAACGGCTATTGGACAAATACATGTACACAATGGGAAATGAGAAAATGGCTATTACACAAACAGATACCTGTACGCAATGGGAAATTCCTTCTCCTCCTGCCTGGCATAGGTGATGTAGCCTCTAGACGTGAGGAAATCCTCACACTCAGACACAGTCTTGGGGTAGCTGGACACAGGGTATCTGGACTGTTTGCTTTGTTCCATGTACTGTCAAGATTTATTGACACGTTGTTAACTTAAGAATTGGGTCAGATAGACAGTGTCATTGGATGGAGATTTTAAATACAGAAAGTTATGGCAGATTAAAGTATGGTGAAAATGTGTTGTTGGTAAGTTTGTTTGTACAAATGTTCTGTGTGTAAAAATGTGATGTTTGTATGAGTGTGTTGTTTGTAACAATTTTTATTCTTTGTAAAAAAAAAAAAGGATAATTAAAACTTGAAGTACTCATTCAGACTTAAAGTCCACAGCGCAGATTAAGAAAATTTCATATGAAAATGCGTATGAAAAGACAACAATCTTAACTTTCCTAGGCTAAAGTCAGGTACTCATAAAGCTGAGTGGACTCAAAGACCGTATACAGATTCAAGCCAAGCAGCCAAACACACCACTGGACGATGTTTTTACATTATTAAAAAATAAAGGGACATAACAGTGACAGATTTTGGACCTACATGCAAAGAGTAATCGATTTCATCCTTGTCTCCCTTTATGATTGCATGACAGCTAGGTTGCCTAGGTGATACGCTTAGCAACTTGAGAGGGCCCTTCTGATTGGTCACTAAATGTTGTTTATATCTGCAAACACATTACCAATGAATTGTGAGGTTACATTAGACGTTTTACAAACAAGAGCTAGCTGAACAGTGACCTTATAACTAACATGTACACAGTCCTAGTTGACTGAGATGTACACACACGTTCATGTTGTTAAATGTGAGTCCTAGTTAACTGAAATGTACACTGTGCCAGCTGACATATACAGTCCCAACTGGCATGTACACATACCCAGTCAGCTGACAAGTACACAATCCCAGTTAACTGGCATGTACACAGTCCTAGGTAGCTGACATGACACAATTCTAGGTAACTGGCATGTACTGAGTCCTAGTTAACTGACATGTACATAATCCTAGTTGATTGACATGTACATAATCCCAGGTAACTGAGATGTACACATTCCCAATCAGCTGACATGTACTGAGTCCTAGTTAATTGACATGTACATAATCCTAGTTGATTGACATGTACATAATCCCAGGTAACTGAGATGTACACATTCCCAATCAGCTGACATGTACACAATCCCAGTTAACTGGCATGTACACAATCCTAGTTGATTGACATGTACATAATCCTAGGTAACTGAGATGTACATATTCCCAATCAGCTGACATGTACACAATCCAAGTCAACTGGCATGTCCTAGTCCTAGCTAACTGGCATGTACACAATCCTATGTAACTGGCATGTACACAACCCTAGGTAGCTGACATGTACACAGTCCTAGTTAACTGGCATGTATTGAGTCCTAGTTAACTGGCATGTACACAATCCTAGTTAACTGGTATGTACACAATCTTAGTTAACTGGCATGTACACAATCCTAGTTAACTGGCATGTATTGAGTCCTAGTTAACTGGTATGTACACAATCTTAGGTAACTGACATGTACACAGTCCTAATTAACTGACAAATACACAGCCCAAGTGACATGTACCCGGTCCCAGCTAACCACCTGACATGTACACACACCTGACCAGGTGTACACCAATGACCTACCTGTTGGCCACGTCCTTCTGCAGCTCAGGCGGAAGTCTCCCCGTGACATCAATTTCAAGGACACTCGGGTAAGTCTCGTCGTTGGCCACGATCACGGGAAACCCCGGGTTAAGCACGAGAACGACCTCTGAGTCCCGCAGCAAATGGCGAATGGTGGAGATGAGGAACAGGAGCGCCAGTAAGGCGAGGGCGAGTTTGGCGAGTCGGGGCCGGTTGACCCATGGCACACAGTAGCGCTGGAGAATCCGACACGGGAGGGAGGAGTATCTGGGGAGGGGGAGACAAGGTGGACGTTAGTGTACGTGTGTGTACACGGTTATTGGCGTTTGTGTACAAGTGTACAAGTATGTGTGTATGTGTTCAAGTATACAAAGTCAAGTATTAGCGTACACGTGTTCACAGATATGTGTGTTTGTGTACACAGTTAATAGCCTTTATGGTACATTAGTACACAACCTAGACAGAAACAAAGTGTTCATTAGTATACACACGCACGCAGAGAAAGTGAGTAAATAAGTAAATAAAATGCACGGTACTCATAAGTGTACAGTGAAGACTGCACCCATAAGTGTACATCGAAGTCAAAGATGAAACACGGTGTCCCTTCGTGTACACGTTATGAAAATGTACAGTTTAGTGTCCGTAAATATACAGGGGTGTACACAATTTTGTGAGTAACCACAACAATGTCCGACTATCTGTAAGTGTACACGAATAATAAGTCAACATAAGGTAGAAAAAAAAACGAACCCGTAAGTGTACGCGAGTACACAGGTTACGAGCACGTACACAAGCACGCGCGCTGACGTCATCTAACGGCCCTTTAATCCAGCTTAAACTCCATTTAATCCAGCTTAACAGCCCATGTTTTACCTCTTTTTGAAACCACAACTCGCGGGCTCAGCTAGCCAATTACTTATTTAGACGACTACTCCTAAACCATATTTCAAAATTTTCAATGTCAAGAGGGATAAATTCTGGGAAATGTAGAGATTAGCTTTTTAGGGGAAGAGGTATTTTTAAAAAATTGAGCGTTATCTCAAATTCCTGGAAAGTAATCGCGTTTAAAAAAAAACCTCAATGAAAGCAATGCGTCTCTAGCCGAAAGTTTGAAGATAAAGGTAAAAAGAGTTAGTAAAATAACGTTTGACAAACTTTATTAACCCGTGATTTAAAAAAAAGGCAATAGTTTGTTATATAACTATAACCTGGCCTGAGGTATGTAAATATGCAATATTCTTGTGGTGTATAACAGTGGCGTAGCGAGGTCGGGTGTCACCCCCCCCCCCCTACAGAGGCGTAGCGACCCTTCCCGGGGACAAACTTTCAATTTTCGATTTGCACCCCCCCCCTCTCCTCAAAATTTCGATATTTCGATTTGCACCTCTGAAAAAGACTATTTAACACTCGAATTAATTACTTAATTAAGTGGAATTATCATTTTTCTCTAAATATTTTGCTATTTTTTGCCTTGGTGTCACCCCCCCTAAAAGGTGTCACCCAGTGCGGTCCGCACCCCCCCCCCCCTCGCTACGCCACTGGTGTATAATAATATAGATCTATGCATGACCCCGTATAGAGTGACATCACAAGCCGGATGGCAACATTTAGAGGGATGAAATATGGCAAAAAAATCGGGTTATTGTGAAAATAAGGTTTTATCCAGTTAAAATAAACTAACGGGGAGAGGGGGTGATACCAAACCGAAAATGCTAAAATGTTGGATGGGAGGGGGAGGGGGGGGGTGGGGTCTCATCCTCAATTAACGTTCCAGGTGACTGTCGGAGAAATGAGGAGAATAATGTAAGTCTCAAGCTAAATGACGTCACTGTCTAATGTACGCCACTTCGCGAACTGTCCGTAACACACGCAGCGACCGCTGAGCACGTTTAAAGTCACTTTTCTATTGTTATTTAGTCGTGATCTATAACTGAAATATGCTTATCAACAACTTTCCTAGAAAGTTCTACTTCGTTCTTAATTTTAGTGTTGGAAGGGATCCCCAATTTTGAGACTTTTCGGTTTAGCAACCATGAGCTTTACCGACTCGACCACGCCGACCCTATCTAGAAGTGAGTAAAATGAAACACAGGATCGTTGTCTATGGAGGGGTGGGGGTAGTGGGGTATATGTGTCTTTTAGGCGTAGCGCTAAGTGCTATCGATTGAATTCCAAAGTAGAAACAAATTTGAAAACTAAATTTTATGGGACATAAATTTATGACATCCATATGAACGGACGGGGTAAAAAGGTTAATTTGTGTGTCGCGCAAGAATTGGGGGGACGTTCATTTCGGGAGGAGAGAGGAGCATCCAAAGTGGAAGGATGTTTGGGTGGACACATTTTGATTTATCTAGGGACGTCATAAATAGATTACCATTAAGGCTGGGCTATCCAAAAAGTATTCTGTATTCTCCTTTTTTTAAATTCTATCAAATCCATTAAACAAATTTTTTTTACTCATCATTAAACTGATGTTTAAAATTAATGGTTTAAAAACATTTTTTTTGTTGTCATGGTTATTGTCGGTAATTTCGATTTTTGATTATCATTTTCGAATAGCCTGAAAGACACCGGGCCTACATTTGAAAAAAAAATGTTTGTCTCATAGTCTGTTTAACCATAAATGGTCGTTAGAAATAGCTGAATTTAAAAATAAAATAAAAAAAACCCACGTTGGTTGCTATCCACGCAAATGCCGTAACTAGACCTAAATAGTTGCTAGCTAATCGGAAAGTTGATCAATGCTGTGACGGGTTCGTTAGCCAATAGAATTTGACATTACTAACGGAGTTGAGGGAGGGGGAAATTTTTTGGATTATGTAGGTCAAAATATTGTGTGTATGATTTGAACATTCGAAATTAAATGATATATTTTCATTGGCTGGTGAAATGACCGTTTCGTCATAGACATGAAAAAATAGCTTTCCGGCCATAGGGCCTATAAAACGGTAGTAGTGAAGTGCTTATAGAAGCTAAATATAGCGACAGGATGTAAGCACGTTTCGTATTTCCTCTACAGTTGGCGTATATACGCACTTCCATATATGGATTTAAGTACATACATATAGTCTATAACAATGTGTTTATTTTGTTTTACTTCATATTTTATAGCCACAAACATTCACGATTTTCAGGCTATTTTCGAGAAACAAGTCAAATTATATTCATATTAGCATCACACACAAATTATTAAAAATATAAATCAGCATTTTCCAATTAGAAATTTCAAATAGATCTAATGCATTTTTGCATTTAGAAATGGATATATTTAAAAAATTAGTTCTGCCAAACAATTCTGATGTTAGATACCTAACTATTCAAAATTAAGTGTCGCACCCAGCCTTATAACCTTCAATTCTTTTACTAATTGGCCTAGTCAGACCGAAATGAACATACATTACAAAGAGCTTTGCAACAAGATTCTTGAATGCAGTAGGGGTCCAGATAGATTCACGTGAATTTCACTGAATTAGGTTACTAATGCAGTAGCGGCAGTGGCGTAGCGAGGTCGGGTGTCACCCGGTGCGGCACTTAATGGTGTCACCCCCCCCCCCCCCCAGTGAATTTCACTGAATTAGGTTACTAATGTAACAGATACACTGATAATGATATAAACCAATGGATTTCATATTGTACCAAATTATGGACGAACCAGTATTTTAAATTAGGCCTGGTATTTAAGTCAAGAAAAGTAGAAACCTGGATTCTAAATTAATAAATAGATTTGCAATCTAGAGTCTAGACTAGATCTACTAGACTAGTACTTTACCAGGTAACTAGATGATCTAGATCTCGATTCTAGAATGTAACAAGATCAGGATCTAGATCTAATCTAGCTAGACCTATAGAGTCAGACCTAAAGCCTAAAGAATAGATATCTAGATCTAGATTTTATACCTAGATCTAAATCTAGATCTGATTTAGATAGACTTCTAGACTCGATTATTAAATTTAGATCTATCTAGATCTAGTTAGATATTATTATTAAGATCTAGAAAGCTAGATCTAGATTCTAGATCTAGATCTAATCTAGATTTCTAGATCTAGAAAATAGAATCTAGATTCTAGATCTAGATTCTACCTAGGTTTCAGAAACAAACAAAAAGAGATCTAATCTAGATCTAGATCTAATCTAGATCTAAAAGTAGATCTAGAATAATCTATTCTAGATTCTCTCTACATCTAGCAGAATCTAGATCTAGAAAATCTAGATCTAGTAGAATCTAGATTCTAGAATCTAGTTTCTCTCTAGATCTGATCTAGATCTAAAATCTAGTAGAACCTAGATCTAGATCTAGAGTCTAGAATCTAGACTAGTCTAGATCTAGAATTCGATCTCTAGATTTCAGAAACAAACAAAAAAGAAATGTACACACAATTCACAATGAAAATCCAATTGCATTCTTTAGCAGCTTATAAAGATCTAAAATGTTCAAAGATTTAACGTTATTCCCAAAAAATAATAGATCTACTAGATCTAAATAAAATCTTGATCTAGCCTACAACTAGATCTAGATCTAGATCTAGATCTAGACCTAGGTCTAGTACAACAAACAAATATTTTAAGCCTTAAGCCCAGGCGATGCAGAATGATGATTTTTATTTTCTGCTATCCAACTTCCGCTCTGTTGTGTAAAATTATAGCGGGAAAAACTATTACCTAGACTCCGCCTACCTTATTTTTAAAGAAATCAAAAATGTTAATCAAATCTAGATCTATATCTAGATTCTATATCTAGATATGATTTTTAATCCATTTTAAATACTTAAACTTTTTAAAATAGAATAGAATCTCATAGAAAAAAGAATTGCACACGAAGCGCACGACATAACAGAATAACAAATGCAAAGTGAAATTAAGGGTTATTTATTTATAAAATACTATCATAAAAGTTAAAGTCTGATCGTGTTTAATTTTAATTTTAATTATATATATATTTTATTTTATTTCATGCCTCTATACAAATTGATATATAATCGAAAGAGATTTTTAACACTAATTTTATGTATAAGTAATACAGTTTATAGCTAGTGTAATAGTTTGTTATTTTGTGCATTTTGAAATTTCTTTTACTTTTTTTAAAATTATAGGTTATTTCCCTTGATAGTAATATTTTTCACTGATCAAAGGGAGGTAATATATTTAGGCAATAGGCTAACCAACGAGTTGTGGAGAAAGGGTTTTCTCAGGGGCGTAAGGTTTAATGAAATATTATATTTAATTAAATAGTGTCTGCTTTGATTGCAACCTCGGATCGAGATCCAAATACCAACTGTTTCCAAAAACGTTTTCAATAAACAGTAGGATCTATCTCTAGGAAAAAGGAAATGTTTCATTATTTAAAATGTCTACTCCAGGCCTTGGGAGATTCGCATTAATAATGCGCCTTGATGAGGGGGTGTGTCTGTGAGGCATTCCTGATGTTCGGCTACCCCCCTCCACCCCACCCTCCACAGCAAGCCAAAGACACATGGATCACCAGAGGGTCAATATTTCAAGCATAATACACGCTGTTTGAGGAATAGGGTGTAGGGTGTAAAAGGGGGGGGGGGGGCGTGAGTGGCGTACGGCTATGCTTTGATATAGCGGAGTTAGGGTCGGGAGGGGGCAGGGGTGCCATGTCGGAAACTGGTATGAAAATGGAGGGGTATAAAATGTAATAATTAGAATTGTCAATTGAACTAATGGAGTAATTAATTGTTTGATTAAGTAAAGTGGCTATGTCACTGCGGGAATGTGCTTTCAGATAAAACAATTAAGATAGCCCACTGCGTGTACATAATGGATACTATTTTGTGTAAACGATTCGCAGATTCTTTGTCTTATATATATATATATATATATATATATATATATATATATATATATATATATATATATATGTATATATATATATATATATATATATATATATATATATATATATATATATATATATATATATATATATATATATATATATATATATATATATATATATATATATATATATATATATATATATACTATGCAATATATGTGATAATCAATCGGAAAGCTCCCGGGCAGATGAGGCTCAATTACGGGGGACAGCAACTCTTCTAGGAGAGACAACACCAAAATCACACAACTGCTGCCTTGTAGTTTGTTCTTGGATGGACAAAGGATATGGAAGCAAATTTAAAAAAAAAAATCATGCTGAAATTGGAGTCAACAGCCTTTGTATGACGCATTACAAGTTGACACGTAATACGTAACTGTGTTGGAGGGAATTTCTTTACGAACGAAGAAGAATCGGAAAGTTTACATTTTACATCTTTTACATTTTACAAACGACAAAACCTATGGATCACTCTTTCACCAGACGTAACATGTAGATCAGATTTTACAGAAGTACATTTGAGCTGACGGCAGAATTTTCCATACAAAAATCTAATTTAAATACTAGGAAGAGGAAGAAAAATGTGTTTTGTTACGGAAACAATGGTATCCAATTAACAGTGACGCACATGAGGTTTTGTGAACTTGCTTTTTTTTTTTACTTCCAATCGTGATATCAGGGCGGTGACAGAATCTTGTCAATTTATATTATATGTGGTGCCACACCACGTGAGTGATGGCAAAGCGTGATGTGTATTAGTTATGTGATGTTTAGTCTTTATATGTAGTCCGTATGTGAGGTCCACTCATGTATGAATAAATTGTTCGATGTTTAATCTTTATCTGTATTACATATGTGTTGTCCAATCTATATTTGTATTAAATATGTGATTCTAGTCTTTATCTGTAATACATATGTGATGCCCAGCCTACATCTGTTTTACTAATGTGATTCTAGTATTTTGCTGTATTACATATGCGGGGCTCAATCTTTAACTGTAATACATATATGAGGTTCAATGTTTATCATTATTACATATTTGATGTCCAATCTATTGATTTGATGTCCAATCATATATGAGGTCATATCTTTATATGTATTACATTTATGAGGTCCAATATATATTTGTATTACATATATGAGGTGATATCTTTATCTTTATATGTATTACATATATGAGGTCAAATCTATTATATGTGTGATACCCAGTCTGAAATTTGCCACACGTATAGCCCCATACCAATGCTACAGCGACATATAAAGCTACACACGAATGCTACCATGTAGCAAACTCAGCACTGTTTGATATAGCACCTGACCCGGACCCCAGGCCATTCTTTGAAAGTGAAAGTCAACATTGGACTAGCGCCATCTTGCCACGCCCACCGCCGCATTGACATTGCGCAAACACCGCTTGATGTATTTTGACGAGGGCCGGGGGAAATGGAGACGTTCACAGACACGGGGGTGGGGGGTCAAGTTACCGGAGCTGCCCTTCTTCTATAGAGAGTTGTTGCCGATGATTCCAGAAGGATACTTGATTCACGAGAAGTTACTTTAGTTCAGAATTTGAACGCTTTAAAGAGAGTATGCGAAGAACTGAAAACATTGTCTTGGAAGATTGTAAAATTAATAGCCGGGGACTGGACAAAATGGAAGAGTATGGTTGAGGCCCTATGTTCCATAAAGAGGATTAAGTCAAATAAAAAAAAAGAGCCTGGCTATATTTAAAATGAGATTACGATGTATTACAACTGACGTAGCAATTATAAAGACTCTTTCGAAGCAGGTGAAAGGATAGTGTGGTCAGTATTATGTCCAGTCGTCTTTAATTTCTGTATTCATTAGAGCAGGGCGGACACAAAAACGTCCTAAGGATTCGAGCCCGGGATCCGAACTCTAGACTTTCGGGTTAGCAGTCTTGCGCTCTAACATATGGTTATTACAAAAAAAAAAAAAAAAAAAAAAAAAAAAAAAAAAAAAAAAAAAAAAAAAAAAAAAACATTGATGTTGTGGATTTTATTGTTGTGTTAGGTCCAATCATTAAAATACGGATCTTTAACAGCGATAGAAGAGATCTCTGCTATAAATTCAAGTATCACCATGTCAACGTGACACTGTATAAGATCTTGAACAAAACCTGAACATTGTCGTCTTAGCAAACACCAGTGGAGTAGACCGGGTGTGTAATACAACACCCCCCCCCCCACCTCTCCCCACAATACCTCAATCCCGATCCACAAAAATCTCAACTATTGACAAACATGCGCCAATATAGCCGTTAGCGTGAGGAGGAGGGGCGCTCGGGGGTACTGAATGGGTGTCGCCTGTTCTAGAGAGTCCATTGTATCTAAATTCAGTCTGAGAATTCAACACGAATTTTTATTTGAGTCCAAGACTTGGCGATCAAAGCACGGCTATAGCTGGGGTGAAGGGGACCTTCCTTGACTCAAGCTCACGTTACTGAGGTACAAAGAGTATCTCAGGTAACTTTTTGTAGCCTGGATCACGCTGTCACTTTTAGTGTTTCTTTCAGACTGGGGGGTGGGGGGGGGGGTTCACCGGTAGGGGGCACTTGTAACTTTTCGGGGCGGACTAAATTTTTCATAGTGTAGGGGGAGGGGCTACTGGTAAAAGTATATGATTTCTGTATAAATTCTTTGGTGGGGTGGGGTGTGGGGCGTTTCTCGTGCTTCTGATGCTTGCAGATGAGATCACTCTTGTTAAAGAAGAGATTACTGGTGTCGTGTATAGGTAGGTAGACGGAAAATTCCATTCATATGAGCTGGAAAGAGAGGCGTAGCGACCCTTCCCGGCTCCCGGGGACAAACTTTTCGATTTGCACCCCCCCCCCCCTCAAGATTTCGATTTGCACCCCCCCCCCCCTCAAAGTTTCAATTTGCACCCCTCTCAACCTTTCAATTTATTTTTCCAACCCATTTTGGCGCCCCCTAAAGGCCGATGCCCGGGGACATATGTCCCCCCCCCCCCCCTCGCTACGCTACTGGCTGGAAAACACATTAGAATAGTACGACCTAGTCTACACAGCCCATAAATTATAGTGTTACTTTCACATACAAAATTCACAATATTGCTTGAAATAATGATGTTGACATGAATATAGATGGAAATATAAAGGGAAGGTATAAGATAGGCTATGACAGAACAAGTGCTTAAAATAAGCCAGGGTTTTCAAGCGTGTTTCGTTACTTTTTTTTTTTTTTACATAATTTTGAAATTTCAGTTCGTGTGGTAGCTAAGAATTTAAGTACTATAGAACATATTTTCTTTAAAAAATTGATACACTATCGAGTTTTTCGTACAATTAAATGTTGTATCGCAGGGTATGAAAAATAAAAACTGCTAGTTCAAAACACATAAAAGGGAAAGACTCTTTTGAAATTTTATTTGGTGACCGGAAAGATGCGCAAAGGAAAACTGCGCAAGGAAAATTTGTTTACTTAAATCGACCATATATAGACTTTAATAAAGAGTGGTTAAATTTCCATTGCAGCATAATTAAAAATATCTCCACGAAATTTGACACCATTAAATTGTATTAGTATAATTAGTTTTTCTGTTTGCGCAGTTTTCCGTTGCGCACTTTATCGGAACCGTCTTAAATCAGAGGGAAAGGAAAGTGGTGGATCGCTTTTTTTTGAGAATGTCGTGAATGTTTCGGATTTCGTCAGACAATAAAGACTCACCGGTAGGTCCGCATATACGTTGCCATGACGACGAACATCCATCCAGTAGCGATCACTGTTGTCAAGCATGTCGTTATGACATGCGCACTGAGGCTGGCGAAGAGATGACTCGCGGACCGCCTCATGCGTGAATCGGATGCGCACAGTTCCGCTGCATTGTTCTCAACACCCCGAGTGTCTCATTTTCTTGGAAAAATAAATGCCAAAATAAACAACCAGGGGCAACAACTCCAAATTAATTTCAGCAGTCCGAACCTTGATAATTCTGAAAATATAGGATAAAAAATGTCGTTAAAAAGTAATTACAAAGTTCTAAAATATTAACGCTTAAAGCAGTGTAGCGTTTTTGATACAATAACCGCTGCAGGATACTATAGCTCGGTACTGTTAAGTATACATACATTTTTTGAGGTGTTATTTATGGGGTGTAGTGATTATGGCTAGTGTTGGATAAAAGAATGCAGGGAGGCGAGTGGGTTGGTGTGGTGATCGTGTTTCTACAACCTCACAACAAGACTTGAACCCTGACCACATCGTCACATTAGGGTGCAGTGATAGTGTCCACAGCCTCACAACAAGACTTGAACCTTAACCACAACGCGTTACGTGGATGCAGTGATTCACTATTCGAATAACTCAAACATCGTGTAAACATTTCTAATTAATCCACATTCGCGGCCAAAGAAACAGGTAAACTCTACTTCATCTGCTCTATGGGTCACCATGTCCGAAAAGGAAACTTTTCATTTACGTTCTCGACCACTACTATTGTTAACATGTGTCATTGTTGGCGGCAATTAATTTGTTAACATTTGTAAACAATCGATATTTGCGGTGAATTGTTTTGTACAATGAAACAAAGTAATGTAGATACATTGCTTTGCTCGAGATCGATTTTAGCAACAAACTACAACGATAGAGAAGCCAAACATTACAAAGACATAATTTAAATCAAATTAAATAGGCAATATGGTCTATATGTCAGCTGATCGCTCATTATGATTAGATTCAATATTTAAAACAAGACCAATAGATTATTAATTTTTATGATTTAAACTATATTTTGTAACACAAATTTAAGGTGATGTCGTCGTTCATTTATCGGGTTGTAAAACAACAAAATATTTAAGCTCAGGCTAAAAACTTGAGTCCGGGGAAAAAAAACTTAACTTAAGCTCAGGCACACACAAAAAATAAGCTCAGGCAAAAAAAAATAAGCTCAGGCAACAGAAATACACTCTTGTTACGCCAGGCTTTTATGGCCAATCAATAAACATGTACAGATCACGTGGGTTGGTAATATTTTCTTTCGATGATGAATTTATTAAGCGTGATATAACCGCACAAAGATGAAAGGGTTAGGGCTGAGATTGCTAAATGTGGAACATCAACGTGAGACGTCACTAGACAGAGATGAAAGCGTTGTGGTTGGGGTACTAGATGTGGAACATCATTCGCCATCACGTGACGCGTGACGTCATCTACACTGGCAGATTAAAATTGACCCTCTTCAGAAGATTGCAATACCATTCCCTCTCCCCCACCCATCAAAATATTCCCATGCCAACCCCCCCCCCCCCCATAACCCATCAATCAATTACTATACAATTCCCTCTCCCACCCATCACAAATATTCTCTTACCAACCCAATGCCAACCCCCCCCCCCTCCGACAACCCACCAATCAATTACTATACCATTCCCTCTATCCACCATCGAAAATATTCCCATGCCAACCCCTTGCCAACCCGTTGCCCAGCCCATCAATCAATTACCACATCATTCCCTTCACCAACAACAAACTGCCACACCACCAGCCCCACCCCACCCCCTATGGAACCGTCATCACGTGACCCTTCCCAACCATGACACTGACATATTGGAGTTGACATATTTTCAAAAGATACACAACCTCCTCCCCCACCCCTTTCCCGTCCCTTGGCACTTCACATGTCTTTACATCATAGACTGTCGTTGACATTCGTTCAAATATTTACCCGTGAACCCCCACCCTCTTCCCCAGTTGATGAATAATTACCTCCAAAAAATACAAAAAGAAGAGATAAGATATCAACGTCAGCAATTTTTCAAAAAAGATTCATAATAAACGTGCTCATTCAAGCGTGGAGAAAGAAAATGAAACACCTGCATGTAGAATCATGCCTGGAGCCAGGAGCGCAGATTTCCAGGAAATGATTGGCTAACGCTGATTGGCAGCAGTGGTCGGTTCCAATCGATGGCAAGGATTAAACTTTTTTTTTTTAAATTTCACAGAAACGTACTTTGACGTCAGCTAATATATAGTTGTGCCCAAGGCTAAAGTTCATTTTCGTTTTTTTTTCCACACATATGCGAATAAAGCTGACATGGAGATATAACAGAACTATGTAGAGATAAGGCAGAATAATTGTATACGGTGGTATAATTGCGTGGTATGAAATTGGACAAATGGTGTGGGTGTAATCGTACAGTAGTTACCAGCATGGTATCGATATTATAGTATTCGTATTGTCGTAGGTTATACGGTATCGAAGTAGTATTAAAGCGATACGTGTGCAGGTCAGTCCAGAGATTAGGTTGTTGGGATACAAATTGTTGCGTGGCGATAGCTAGTGACACCATTGACTGGACACCACAGACTGGACACCACATCACAGACTACACCACAACATCAATGAATGGACACCACAACATAACAGACTTGACTAAAATAACACCATAACCTTATTAGCTAACACAACAACACCTTTGACTGACTCCACTAAGTTGTGATCATTGTTTACATTTGATTAAAAAAACAGATTTCCGTTTAGAGGGAATGAAATACAAACACATAGGACGCTAATCAAAATCTACGCGGTGTTTGTATAAAAAACACAGCAATAAAAACATATTCATAACATTGATGATACTCATTAAAACTTGTCACTTTAACGCCCATTAACACATGTCACGTTGACACTCACAAATACATGTCACGTTCACTCTCACAAATACATGTTACGTGGACACTCTCACAAATACATGTCACGTTCACTCTCACAAATACATGTCACGTTCACTCTCACAAATACATGTCACATTCACTCTCACAAATACATGTCACGTTCACTCTCACAAATACATGTCACGTTCACTCTCACAAATACATGTCACGTTGACTCTCACAAATACATTTCACTTTGACACTCACAAATACATGTCACGTTGACTCTCACAAATACATTTCACGTTCACTCTCACAAATACTTGTCACGTTGACTCTCACAAATACATGCCACGTTTACTCTCTCAAATACTTGTCACGTTGACTCTCACAAATACATGTCACATTCGCTCTCACAAATACACGCCATGTTCACAAATACTTGTTAAAATGACACACTCTAGCCACCCCTCCCCCTCCTCACCCCCCCCCCCCCCCGCCCCCTCACAAACAACTTGAAACTTGGCAATATCCGGTTTTCCATACAAAAAGATTCAACAATGGGTTTTTATCTCCACTTGTATTTCTACACACCAATATTATGTAAATTTCTATTCCAGAACTGTCGTACTTAAGAATACAGAAGGTATCGGGTATCGATGTTTGACGAGATACAGAATATAATCGAATACTTGTCAGTGATGAAATACAGAAGATATCGAATACAAGTCAAGTATGACATACGACTAGTTTGGACCAAGGGCATTTTACTAAAAAAAAATGTTTCAAAAGAAACCTAGAACGGAAATTGTGTTGTAATTCCTTGTTCAATAGCTTGTCTTTGAGTAAGGCGACACGATTGATGGCTCGTCTATTTCGGTTGATTGACTGTGCGAGACAACAAAGGACAATGATGAATAAAACAGGCAGGGGGGGGGGGGGGGGGGGTTGAAAGATATGGATCACGTTGTCTGTACGTCTTTGACAGTTGTGATTGTGCTCTACATTACGTCACAGAAGAAGTTGTTTAGAATGTAAATTATTTGGTTGGGAAAACAATGGTAGGCGTTTTTGTTTGATTCAAGACAAGATGGTTGCTTGGAGACACGGACGCTACTTTGAGATAGTTAGCTACACGCTACATGGAGACAGCTACACGCTACATGGAGACAGTTGGCTACATGCTACTACAAGACAGTTGGCTACATGCTACATGGAGACAGCTACACGCTACATAGAGATATGTGGCTACACGCTACATGGAGACAGTTGGCTACATGCTACATAGAGACAGCTAGCTACGTTCTACATTGGCTATATGCTTCAAACATACTGGTTGCTACATGCTACATTTTGAATGGAGAGTGGAGCTATATGCTGATTGGGTGTCGGTTGCTACGTTATCGAAATTATGTCAGCATCAAATATTGAGAGCGGTGTTTCTGCATCTAATGTTTTTATTTATATATCTGTAGCAATTACGCAGTCGCTTGATGTAGGCTTACGCTTTTCAATACATATTTTAACACATTTAATTAAATATTTTGTACACATGCAAGAACATGTTTGTACATAGGCAAGTACATATTTGTACATATGAAAGTGAATATTTTATACACATTTAAACACACATTTTGTACATATTCAATCACAAACTTTGTACACATTCAAGCACAAATTGTGTACACATTCAAGCAGACATTTTGTACACATTCAAGCACAAATTGTGTACACATTTAAGCACACATTTTGTACGCATTCAAGCTCACATTTTGTACACATTCAAGCACACATTTTGTACACATTCAAGCACAAGTTTTGTACACATTCAAGCACACTCTATTAGCACAGCTCGGCTAGCGTACACCAGTAAGACACCATCTTGTGTACACCACCCTCTAGGCTGACACTTCTTGACACCTTCCTCTTAAATGACATCTATGACACCACCCTTAAGCCCGAAACCTCTGACTTCTACCTTAAGGCTGACACCTCTAAAACCACCATCTAGACTAACACCTATGACATCACCCTCTAGGCTAACACCTCTGACACCATCCTTTTAAATGACACCTCTGACACCACCCTCTAAACTGACACCTTTGACACCACCCTCTAAACTAACACCTCTGACACCACCTTCTAGACTAACACCTCTGACACCACCATCTAGGCTAACACCTCTGACACCACCTTCTAGACTAACACCTCTGACACCATCCTTTTAAATGACATCTCTAACACCACCCTCTAGGATGACACCTATGACACCATTGTTTACATGAAGCACAACAGTGTTTCAATC